CATGGAGAGGAGAGTTTAGGGTTTAGGGTTTAGGGTTTAGGGTTTAGGGTTTAGGGTTTAGGGTTTAGGGTTTAGGGTTTAGGGTTTAGGGTTTAGGGTTTAGGGTTTAGGGTTTGGTTTAGGGACTAGGGTTTCCTACAGCCCTAGATCCCTAAACCCTGAGCATTCATGAGGACGTCTACCACCGGCACCTCCACCATTTCCGGGGACGTCCCACACACATCCTCGAGGTGGCGAGATGACTTTGGGAGGGTCCTTAAGGGCTTAGGGATTCAGGGCTTTAGGGTTTAGGGATTGAGGGTTTTGGGGTTATAGGTTCTAGGGTCTGGGGTTTAGGGTTTGGGGCTTGGGGGTTCAGGGGTTGGGCGTCTACGACGTGATTTTACCAGGTACTGTTAATATTCATGTTTGTTAATCGTGTTGCCAAGACCTCCCAAACAAACCTTACGGGGTCTCTTTGCTTTTGCACCCTACACCCTACAATCGTTTTGACAACCATGGCAGCTGGTGCGTGCTAGGGCATGGGATCACCATAATCGTAGCCTGGTTCGTAGAAAGCCTCTGTTTCTATTACCTGAGCACCTTTGAGGGGGGGGGGCATACTTGCACAAGCCACAATAGTACTTCCTAGTCTAGAAACCCTGTTTTGCACTGTGCGGAGGTCCTGACTCTACACCTGTGCAGCCTGAGTCCCATTACGTACTCGCGAGGGAGCAAGCGATCTATTGTTCAGACTCTACATCCATTCAGGAGATAGGGCTCCGAATTGGTTGACATGAAACATATGATACTTGTACACTGTTCCAGTCATCTAGCAAACCATTTTACAATATAACAATGCCGGTCTATTCTGGACCTGGAAGCAGGTCTAACCTAGCACAGTCATGGACAAATATTGTTATCAACATCGGCTCCGGAGATCAGGAATCTGACTGTTCTGGGTATTGGCTGCATGGTCCAACAGCGTTTAGGGCTGACTGTGGTGGCAGTGCTGTCTGTATCAAAGGGCATAGCAAAATTCGTAGCAGTGCTGGTGTTGTTGGTGGCAGTAGCATTGTGTGTGCCCAGGTTGTTGATAGTCGTTTTGTTAGCATGCATTGATACTGCCACTGCTCCGCACTCCTTCCACCACCGTCTTCAATGCAGGGGGTTCAGCGGCTTTGATGTGGGGCTTTAGGTTGGAGACGGTTTACGATGGAAGCCTGGGTAAGAGATACTACGGTTGATGATATAAATCCTGCATTACCCATAATAAGGAATAGAGCAGAATTCGCAGAGTTTGGGCTCCCTAGGGTAATGCAGGGTTTATATCCTCAACCGTATTGGTTTGGGTTCCTTGCCATGAGTATAATCGAAGCTCAAATTCCTATTCAAGCGAACAGGGCCCCGACCTTACCGCATTGCTTGCCCGTGGTTTTAGCGTTTAAGTGCGCCCAATCCTATTGACAATGTAAACCCTAAACCACTCTGTAAGTTCGGACAGCAGGTTGGTGTTGCCAGCGGCGGATCACTGCAGATGTGGAAGGCTTGACGACGGAGTTCCCAGAGACTTGGGTTTAGGGTTTAGGGTTAGAAGCCCCTCAATTCAGGAATTATCCTTTCATTAAGAAGCTTTTATGACACTCACGTCTGGGTTTGTGAAATGCAGAAGGATCTAAATCTTAACAGCTCAAACCGTCCTAAACTCCTAAACACCCCAAACCCTAAACCTGAATCAGTCCTGAAATCTGAAGCACCAGAAACCCAAACCGCCGTAAACCGTGAAAACAAGGCAACACAAAAGCCCCATACTTCTCAACCCGAAAGACACGGAAAAACCCACAACCCGAAACGCCTTGTCCTTCAAGGATTGAGGGTTTAGTGTTTCCCAAGGATCCTACCTGCTTGTATAGGGCATGCTGCACGGGCTTCTACAAGGGTGCTACGGGCGTCACACTGTCGACACGGTGTGCTACTTATCAAACGTTTTTCTTTCTTCGAATATAAAGCCCAGGAGAAAGTTGCTGAGATAGGGCTCGGTTTAGATATTATTGGCAAGTGTAGCCCTAACCCCCCAGGTACCTACTATATAGGGTACTCGAGCCCCTAGGGCCCGATATAGTAGGTACCTTGGGGGTTAGGGTAGTGTCGAGGTTTCATTCTGGGGATACTTGCAACAAAAACCCGTAAGCCCGAAGCCCGAGAACTCTGAAGGACTGAAAGCGGTTTAGGGTTTTTGGTTTAGGGTTTAGGGTTTAGGGTAAGAGGGATGTGATCAGAAGAGTCAGTCCATGACGTTGGGTCCTGGCAACAGAAAGGGATGGTATCAATAATCGCCAAACGGAGCCGCCAAATAGTCATCCCGCGACGGTGTAAAGTTCAGGGTTGTAGGGTCTGAGGGTTGAGCAAAAGGCTTTGGAACAACTGCACAGAATGATACTGTGCTAGTGGGAGTGGGTTTTACGTGGGTGACAGGGCAGCGGATGAGTTTCCGGCTAACCCTAAACTCTAAACTCCGGCTAGACTGACGAAGTAGAGACAGAGGAAGAACCCACTTGCTGCTCCTCAGCAGGAGTTTGTGTGCCGGAGCAAATCACTCCCAGGTTTAGGCCTTAGGCTGTGAGGGTTAGGATTTATTTAAATAGGGTTCAGAGTTTAGGGTTTAAAGGGTAGGGAGAGAGCGTGATTTTTTGTAGCATTGAACTTGGGTCCCGTGGTGCCCACAACTCCCCAAAGTGTCGTCGCTGCGGTACTTTCAGTTCAAGCCCTCAAGCTCGACCCTAAACCTCCGTAAACCTAAATAGCCCTGTAAACCCTAAACCTTCGACCTGCGCGCCAAGCACTAAACCCTCAGGCCTAGGCAACGAACCCCCAAAATCCAAACCCTAAACCCCTAAACCCTAAACCCGTTACGAGGCCTACTTTGGCCCGCAGCTGCGATTAACGGCTGTTGACTGCTGCCCCTTTTCAGGCAGGTCCTGGAGTTTAAGGTTTAGGGGTTTAGGGGTTTGAGGTTCAGGGGTTTAGGGTTCAGTGTGCAGGGTTTATAGGGTTTGGGGTCTAGGGGCTTGGGGTTTAACTTAGGCCTTGCAAGGCTCATGGGGTTCCTTTAAGGGGTTTAAAGGGTTCCATACTAGTTCCATACAAGATCTATAAGGGTTCAGGGGTTTAGGGTTTAGGGAACTTGTGTGTGTGTGTGTGTGTTTTGCCGTCTCTGGCCGCTAAACCCTAAATCCCTTGCAGAGCCTTTAAAGAAACCCTTAAATCCCTTGCAGAACCCTTAAAGAAACCCTTATCAAAGTTTAAAAAGGCACCAAAAATGCGAGTTTGGGGCTGCATGTGAGAGGTGTGTAAGCAGGATTCCTCCAGGTGGTCATGATCTGGCACCCTAAACCCAAACCCCATACCCTAAACCCTAAACCCAATACCCTAAACCCTGAACCCTAAACCCTAAACCCTGAACCCTGAACCTTAAACCCTTAACCCTTAACCCTGAACCCTAAACCCTGAACCCTCAACCCTGAACCCTGAACCCTAAACCCTACGCCCTGAACCGTTACGAAGAAGTCTGGAGGCATGCGGGGCGAGCTGGAAGACCACCGGACCTCCATCTGGAGACTTGGCATGGGGATGAATAGGGTTTAGGGTCCTTGGAGGATCATGAGACTTGGTAATTGGGGTTATAAGTAAATGTTACATTAATTATAACCCTACTTACAAAGTCCCATGACCCTTTAAGTTTTACCTGGGGAGCCAGAAACCGATTGTCTAGGGGACCTTACTCTCTCACTAAAGGGCCATGACCCCTTAAACCCTAAACCCTAAATCCCCAATCCCTAAACACTAACCAAAAAAACCCTAAACCCTAAACCCACACCGTGTGTAGTATTTGGGAAAAAACCTAGGGCGTTGTGGGGATGAGCATAATCTTCAGCATGATACAACATGCAGTGGGCTTCCCCAAAAAATAGAGGGCTCTGTAAGGGTTCTAGCAAAATTCAGAATTTTCGCTTGGGGTAGTTTATTGGGATTTGAGTTTCGTTTGGCACTTGAGGGATGCAGGGTTCAGGGTTTAGGGTCTATGTGGGCTGAGGCTATCAGGGTTTGGGCCGACTTGTTCTTTAGAGTTTGGGTCCGGCGGTTTCTCTAGGTTTGAGGTTGTTGACTTGAGGTTCGTTAGAGTTTCGTGGTTTAGGGGACTGGGCTTAGGGGGTTTATGAGCTTAAGACTCGCACAGTAAAGTGCGGTGGCTCGGAAGGAGCTACTTTCTTCTACTGCAGGCAGGGCAAGCGTTTCGATCGAGAGTGCAAAACTCCAAAGATTGCACAGGCGCGAGGTGATGGAACGCGCTTCCGTGCAGTCCCCTGTGGCACCCGCTTTGCTGGAGGCTGCTTTCATCTGCGCTCCTAGCGGTCCGTCACTTCTCTGGTTCCTGCTTGCTTCTCACAGGAGCCCCAGGAGGACAGAGAAGATGAGCAGCGTTCCCCTGAGGAGACCCTTTTGCTCCAAGCAATCGCAGATGATCGCCAGTTTCTCGGAAAGGGAGTGTTTGAGCTGTTGGAGACACTGGCTTCGTTTCTTCTTTTCAGGTCGCAAAGCTCCACAGCTTTTCCGTGTGCGGCTCACACAAAAGTTCAGGTTCTCTTACTGCGTGGAGGTTGGGGATTGGCAATGGAAAACGTGCGCCAGGAGCTTCCTGTCCAGCTACGCCGCTTTGATCTTTTGATTACGAGTGTATGGGGTTCGGGCTTGGGCAATCAACCCTAGCCTAAGCCCTGAAACCCTGAACCCTGAAACCCTAAACCCAAAGCCCTAAAACCCTGAACCTAAAGCCCTTTCAACCCCAACCCCTAACCCCTAAGAGCCCTAAACCCGAAGCCCCCCTAAGCCCTACTTAAAGGATCGTAAGTAGGGTTATAATTATGGTAACTATACCTATAACGCCACTTAAGGGACTTATAACCTTAACCCTAAACCCTAAACTACGTCCCATGATCCTCCAAGTATGCTCTAAGCCGGCTCCTGGAAGTCCTCTGTAGTCGCCGCTCGTGTTGTCAAGCCCTAAGGTTGAGGCTTCGGAGTTTAGGGTTTGGGGTTTGGGGTTCAGGGCTTAGGGTTCAGGGTTCAGGGTTCAGGGCTTTGGNNTCAGGGCGTAGGGTTTAGGGTTTGGGGTTTAAGGTTGAGGGTTTAGGGTTTAGGGTCCAGTAACTTATAAGATCTAGCCACCACTATGGGGCTATGTTTCGAACAAGATGCCGTCCCCAATGGCCAGGGTTTTGTTCGGACTTTAGAGGAAACCGGTGCAAATCCCATAAAATCCCATGCAACCTCCTAAATCCCAGAGATCCTTGGAAGCGCTTAAAGAAATCCTTCAAGGAAGCCATCACAAAAAGATAAAAGAACCAGGTTGAGTTGAGGAACTGCGGTTATAAAGCTTGAGTTTATGAACTGCCTTCTTGCAGTTACTGTAATTTATCACAATCGGGATGTGCACAGGCAGATGTGCAATCCAGAACACGCCCACGCCTTCTTCATTATGGCAACTTATGTTAAGCGGCTTACAACCATAAGCAAACCTCCAAGAATTCAGCGAATGTTCAAAGACATAACAGGCGTATAAACGACCTCCAAGCATCTGCACAAGGGTTTCCGGACTTCGAAGACCCTTCCAAAAGCAGCAGCAAATCATGAAAGAAGCCGCGCGCAAGCCCTTGTGAACCACACCCTGACCCTAGAACCTGCAACCCTGCAATCCGCAGAGCCCGAACACCCTCACTTTGAACCGAATCAAGTATGCGACACCCAAAACGGTCACTAAAATGCTGAGCCCCTGAACCCATAGCCATCCTAAACTCTAATCCCCAGAACCTGAACCCTAAACTCCCTGTAGAGAACCCCTCTTAGGAGCTGCAGCATGGAAATACTAAAAATCCATGGAAGCCTAGGCCCTGAACCCTGAACCCTAAACCCTAAAACCTCAAACCCTAAAACCCTAGACCCTAAACCCTAGACCCTAGACCCTAGACGCTAGACCCTAAACCCTAAACCCTAAACCCTAAAACCTAAAACCCTAAAACCTTCAACCCTGAACCCTAAAACCCCTAGCCCAGGATTGGCGACCAGGCCGATCCCGACTTCTGGCGAGAGCTGGCAGCCCAGATGCAAAGAGGAGCTGTTAGAGCTTTCTGGGTTTAGGGTTTGGGGTTTAGGGGTTTTTAGGGTTTAGGGTTTAGGGAATTTGGGGATTGAGGGGTTTAGGGTTTAGGGTTTGTAGGGTTTACGGTTTAGGGTTCAGGTTCAGGGTTTAGAGTTTCTACCTGCCTTGCGAGTATATGTACTTCGGCGTTGAAGAGGCTCCTATAAAGGAGCTGTGAGGCCAAGACATATACTCTAAAGTAGAATCCAGAGTGTTGGAGTAGGGTTTAGGGTTTAGGGTTTAGGGTTTAGGGTTTCACTATCCTCCTGCCCGTAAGGTAAAGCACCAGGAATCCCAGCACTACTCATCCTTAGCCCATGTGCCAACTTTCTTCGGTTCACTCTATGGGTGCTTTCTAATCAGGGATCGCTTGAGGATTCCGACGGTAGGACCGGACGGACGCCAGGGACGCAGTTTCCCGAACTTCGGACCATCCCGGAGAACTCAATCCCAGACCTTCCAACAGTTCTTAACTAAGGAAAAATTCTTAACTGTTAGTGGGATCGCACTATATTATTTCAGATATATTCCTTGATTAAGGGATTTTGGAAAGTCTGGGAACCTCAACTCAAAACCCCAACCACCCCAAAACCCCCAAGCGTGAAACAAGAATGAGCCGCCAACAAACCTGCCCAGGTGCAATCAGTGCCTCCGCCTGATATAGTTGTTGATGATGGAGGACACATCGGCAGCATGCAGTTAGAAGCTCGGCTGGGTTTAGGGTTTAGGGTCCCTCAACCCTGAACCCCTAGGCTGGTTTAGTGGGAGGTGGGGGGGTGGAAACCGACTTAGGTCCCAAACCTGCAAACTTTCAACCTGAAGCCTTGAAGTCCTCAAGCCCGAACCGAAAGCTCTAAAGCTCTGAGCCTCAACTTCAGACCCTTAAACTATACACACCCTGAAGCCCTACTGTAAACCTGTACCGGATTTGGCCCTGCAGCGACAGGAAGCCGCATATTTTAGGCTTGCAGGGTCTTGAGCTTTGCGGAACGCAGAAGACGATGGGTTGAGCAGGTGAAACGAGCAGTTTTCAAACGAGTCGCAGGGTTTAGGCTTTCGGGTTGGCTCCTTGAGGCACTATGAACCTAAACCCTAAACCCTTAAGGCACTAGTACTCTCCAGAACATCGGTTCCCAAATCCTCAAGCCCCATTTCTGAGCCTTGTCGAAGCTTAAGAACCTTGCCTATGTGGCCGGCACAGACCTCGATGCACTATGTACAAAGCCCCCAGGGTTCGTAGTGAGTTAAGAATTTTTCTGGACCCGAATCCTTGCAACATATTTGATGCAAGACGGTTCTGCGCACCTCAAACCCTAAAGCTTGTAGCATCTTCACCCACAAGAAACCGCAAGTTCGCATTGGTTTACGACACTCCCAACAATTGGAAAAGCTCCAGCGCTCGGTGTTCAAGGGTCCCGTTTTTTCTTTTTGGCGAGGGGGCTTGAGGTGAAAGGATCGCTGCCGAGCCCTGGTTGTGTTTTTTTAGGGCGTTGGCCTACTTCATGGTTAGGATCTATTGCCATCCTAAACAAGGAAAAAAGAAACAAGCCAGTCTATACAATGAGAAAAGAAACAAGGCAACAAAAAGCGCTACAGCTCCGGGTCTAAATTAAGGGACTTCTAACCTTATTTACTTAGTCTCATGATCCTCCAAGTAGCCAAGATAGGTGCACGGAGACCCGGGGAGCTCTGAAACCTTACACCGAAAACTTCAAAACGTGGCCAGAGAAGATCCTCCAAGGGTTTAGGGTTTAGGGTTTAGGGTTTAGGGTTTAGGGTCCAAGGCAATGTTCCAATCACTTTGGCCCCACGTAGCGCCGGGGGGCGTGTACATCGTGGAGGCTCGCATTGTATGACCTGCCCTGGGGCTCTGGTTACCTAACCCTAAGGGTCCATGTACCCAAATAGTATATACTTTGGCCTTAATGATGTAGTCCCTATATAGATACTTTGGGGTTAAAGTATATACTATTTGGGCACATCGACCCTTAGGGTAAGTAATGTGTTGTGGGTTACACCCCAAACCTAATCCGCAACTCTAAACCTGTGAGACACACTACGATTATAATAGTAACCGGCAAATTCGGTGACTGAAGCCTTGGCGTTGTCCAAGAGATACTGCGGTCTCATGTGCAGCAGTTTCAGTTCTACAACGACGGCATGTAACTGACTAGGTTTCCGTTCCACAGTAGCTTGGAGTAAGTTCCTTGGAAAGAACCCAAGATAATTAAATCCAAGCATGCCGCAGGGTTGAAACTAATTAATGTGAGAATATCAGAAGACTAGTGGTGCCTTATTTCGGATCCTTCAAATCAGGACCCACCTGTTTGGGGTTCTATATTCGGGCCCGCTGTTTTCCTAAACTCCCATACAGGTGTTGGGATCTTTCTGTGGACTCTGGTGCCTCATGCCATGGTCTCAATGCTTTCAGGTTCTCCCGGATTGTTGTGTTTAGGGTTTAGGGTTTAGGGGTTTAGGGTTTAGGGTTTGGATTTTGGCAGTAGATAGTCTCAATCCGACACAGTGGAGTGATCGCTGTGGTTGTCCACACAACCGTCACACCGAAGTGTCCTTCGAGTATTGCCGCGGCAACGTTTTCAATTGAGCGGTCAGTGCTTGCTATGGTTACACATGTTGAGCAGTCAGAGAAGCCGCATGGGCACTGCATTTTTTGTCATGGCCGTCGACAAGGGCTTACCCAAAGCTAGTTTACGCACTTGTCTAACACAGTGGTCCCCTTGGTTGCTTCATTTCCGCTCGTCCTTCGTGAGGACATCTTCCTGGCCTACACCCAGCACCTGGGTTGGCAAGGAAGGATTATGCCTACTGCTGAGTAGGCCAAACTGCTATCTGTTTTTGGTTGTGAAGTTTCGTGTTCCCGATTAACGATGATGCAGGAGTTCGTCCATCTACATAAGTACCTATGAAGCTGCTCAATCTTCACCAGAACCTCAAGCTCTGAAATCCCGAAGCCCTACCCTAGCGCATAAATCGAACACTCAGAAACACACTGAATTAGCTGCTGAATCGTAGGTGAAGCCTACACTCTGAAACTCCTAAACTCCAAGCCGTCGACTCAAAATCCTAAATCAGAGGACCAGGAACGGCAAACTGCTGATGCGCTAGCAATTAAAGGAACGCTGCTCGGGATTAGAGTTGGAGCGTCCGATTTTTCGCCCTGGCATCCCAGCGAGGGCCGGCAATCGACATTGGGCGCCTTGGCTAACCCCAAGCCTTTCAGGGTTCCTTTAAGGTTTCTTTCTCACATGTACCATAAGGGTTCTATAAGGGTTCTTTAGTTTAGGGTTTAAAGGTCATTGTACCCAAATAGTATATACTTCGCTTAAGCTTTAAAAGGGGCTCCCATATAGGAACTCCGGCCCAAGTATATACTATATGCGTACATGGACCCTTAGGGTTACTGGAAGACCAGGGGTACTTGTGCCAAAGGTTTGGGGTTCAGGGTTCGGGGTTCCAGAAGGGACTCAGTACCTTTGTGACATGGACACCCTAAGCCCTAAACCCTAAACCCACTAGCAATTGGATTGGGGATCGCCAGCAACCTCCAAGGGTCAAGTGTTCTTCCGGGTAGATTCCGGATCTTACCGAGGAGTTCCATGAGATCCTTGGGACAGTTTGGGGTCTGAAAGTTGCAGTAACCCTCCCTTGTCAGCCCCTTGTAAGTGTGCGTTACTACTCCCAAAAACTCCCAATCAAGTAATCAAGAGCCCTATATTGGATTCCTCGCCTTATGACTTGGTCTCGGGCGAAAGGCGGGGCTTGGGCTTTTTTGTGTTCAGGCCCCATGTAGCAAAAGTATATGAAACAATTCTTTGTAACGAGCCTGGGCGGTTCATAGCAGTGGAAATTTGGCAATACTCCCCGAATGCTCCAAGCAGTAAGCTCTAATCCCTAAAAACCCTAAACCCTAATAGTAACTCTAGTAGGGTTTAGGCAGCCCCAAGAACTTTCAAGTGGTCCAGATCGAGCGCCTGCGTGACTTGATCGATGAGATGCAGACGGGACACACCGAGGCAACTCGAGGGGTATTGCAGTGTTCTCCTTAAGTCTGTACATAGAGTTTTGATAGGGTTCTGTGTTTCCGTGTGTTGTGCTTCAGGGTTCAAGGATCGAGCCGGGAAGTTGGAACACCACTCCCCCACTTCTGAAGCCGTCTTAAGCCTAGTTCAATTTCAGGGTTTAAAGTATGTACAATATTATCTAATTTAAGTTGCGAACGGACCTCGATACCACTGCCCGAACATAAGGCTGAAGGTCGCAACGATTAGATCGTAGAGTTAACTAATGGTCGTGACATCGCAGACTTACTCATGTCACGTTTCTGCTGCTATTTTCTGCACATAGTGGTTGTTCGACAGCTTCGCAAACGTTTCTCGAGCACCGCACCCATGCAGGACTCTCCGCCAGTGCTCAAACAGTTTCAGCATTTGTGCATTGACCCGGGGTAGGTGGGTGGGTGAGCATTTAAGGGTCAGCAAACACGAAAGGACTGTAACCCTAAACCCTAAACCCTGAACCCAACACGTTCATGACCTCAGTGAAGCTGCCCCATACCCAGCAGCCAATGCAGGATGAAGCGTTGAAGGAGTCCGTTGGCTCAATCCGCAGCATCACCATGTGCCTCGACCTGGTTTAGGAGTTTAGGGTTGTGGGGATCGGTTTAGGCTTTAGTCGTATAGAGCCTTGAATCAGTTTCTGTATACCTCCACTGCCAGGGTCTGGGTCTTAGGGTTTCGGGTTTAGGGTTTAGGGCTGGATAGGTAGTATGTATGGGTAAATGTGCAGGGTCCAACGCTTTCGGGCTTTGGGATTTGTGCATACCTGGGCTAAAATATCTATCTAGGGAACCAGAGCTTTAATTTGTGTTGCAGTACAGGGCTTAGAGCCGTTCGGCAGGGGGGAGATACTGTAGTTAAGACCGTGCTATGCTCCCAGTCTACAGCTCTCGAAACTTAGAAAGGGGCCTTTGCAAAACGGTCTAGAGTCTAGACTTCAAAAGCCCTAAACCCTATTTAACCCATTGAACTTTACCCCGAAGTTCACGTTGAACCCCCTGAACCGTCAATTTCAGTGCTAGTCAGCCAGCCGGCCTTCCGAGCCCCAATCAAAATCAGGTTCCAAAGCTCTTCCAGCCTCACGCCCAGCCCCGCCCCAGCCCCAAACTCAACATCAGGCTCCAAATTACAAAACTCGGCCAAAACTTTCGGTCGACACGTTTCGGTCAAAACTTTCGGTCAAAGCTAGCGCGCCCAAACCCTCAACAATTTGTATACACCCCAATCCACAGCTCGACTCCTTGGTGTCTGAGACCCAGACCCTCAGGAGGATCCAGAAAGTAGATCCCTTAATGGGGGTTCCTATAAAGAGCCCCTTTTAATTTATATAGGGTCCCAAATTAGGGGTTCTACTTTCTAGATCCTTCCGGGGGTCTGGCGAGCATCTCTGGGTTCATGGTGGATAACCCCGAGACTACAGGACTGAGATGAAGGGAGTAAGGTTTAGGGCCTATAGGGTTTAGGGTTTTGGGTTTATATTTAGGGCTTAGGCTTTAGAGGGTTTAGAGGGTTTAGGGTTTAAATTTAGGGTTTAAGGTTTAGGGTTTAGAGGGTTTAGGGTATAATTTTAGGGTTTAAGGTTTATGGTGTGTAGAGAGTAGAACTTAAACTATGCACCGGTCTACCTGAATCCTTCTCTCTACTTTGCATAATTTCATGACTCCGTCTAAGAAGGCGGAAACTTGCTACGACGCTTCACCCGTCCTGAAGACACGTGGAAAGCATCAAAGAAACCCGGGAGAACCCCAAAGTCTTCAGGGTTTAGGGTTAGGGTTCTGCGACAACACCCACTAACACCCTGCATTCTACAACCCCAAATTATTCTACCTTATTTGGAGTATCATGTGACTTAGTAAGGTTATTAAGTACCCTAGTTGGACCTCCAAGTGAGTCCCATGACCCTTTAAACAAAGCCCTAAACCTTAATAGATCCCCTTTAGAACCCTTTTGGATCCCATTTTTTCAGGAACCCTAAACCCTAAACCCTAAAAACTAAACCCTAAACCCTAAACCACCACCTTGAACCTTGAAGAGAGACCCCCACAGCTCCTGAAGGCCCTGTAAGCCCTGAAAGCCCGAGGTACCGATACTGCTCGGTGATCGAGAAGTACGATGCAGGGCAGGTTGGGCTTAGGGTTTGGGGGTTTAGGGTTTAGGGTTTAGGGTTTAGGGTGTCACTTGGAGGATCATGGGACTTAGTAAGTAGGCTTACAAGTCCCTCAACTGGGGGTATCAGTAATTATGAGTGTAGTTCCCTTACTTTGAACCCCGTTTGCTAAGTCCAATATTGCTTTAAGTAGGGCTCATGTGGCCTAAACGATGCATACCGGGTCTATCTAGATTTTGCTTGATCCAGTTCCAGGGCAGGGCCATGGACGGCTCATGTAGTTCTCTATCCTGCTCCGACCTTCTTACAACCGACTGCCTTCGCCTGCTGATCCGGAAGTTGGAGTTTGGGGCTAAGGTTCTTGTTGACAGAATGGCTAAGGCTGGCACCCGTGCACAAAAGCGTCTGTTCCAAGGGGGATGTTTAACTGAGATTGGATGCTACCCTAAACCCCAGACCCTAAACCCTAAAACCCAAACCCTGAACTGGAGATTGGATGCCACCCTGAATCCTAAACCCCAGACCCTATCCAACTCTAAACTGTAGCGGGATGCCCCCTTCGTCTGACGGAAGTACATGATACCCTACCTTACTTACTGGAACGAGTAAGTCGTCATGGCCGCCGTCTACCTGAAAACGCAATCCCAAAGACGAAGCCCTGATCGAAGATTATGTCATGGTGAGGTCAGACGTAAGGTGCTTTAGGATAGCGTTTAAGGTTTTGGGTGCTTCAGATTAGGGTTTAGGCTTTAGGGCTTTAGGGTTTAGGGTTGAGGCGGCACTCGAGTTGCAGATGCTTCTCAAACATAGCCCAGGACTATGTAGCTGTGGTGAGAACCCCACACCCGATACTTGGAGGATCATGGGACTTAGTAAGTAAGGTTATAAGTCCCTTAATTGGGGTTATAAGGATAGTTGCCCGAGTTATAACCCCAATTACTAGGTCCCATGATCCTCTAAGTACCCCTGGCGACCACGTGGAATCCGGACAGTCCACAATGTCGGAGTTTTCGCAGTCCTTGCCTCTGCTTTGGATGGCGACTGCACTTTGTCTCCAGGGCCACCTTGAACCATGAACATTCATGGGAGTTTCCGAAAATTAGGGTACCCTATTTATTTTGGGTTCTTTTGATAAGGATCCTAGTATTTAGGGTACTATATTTGGATCCCCTATTTTTGGAAACCCCCACATGGGTGTAGGGTTCAGGGTTGAGGGTTTATAGGGTTTAGGCTCAGGGTTTGGGCTTGAGGCTTTAGTGCAAAAAGACCCACAGCTATGGAAAGCCATATCCGCACCTTGTGCGGACTCGCAGACAGTGCTCGCAGCTAGACTAACCCGAAGGGTCTAAGGACTCATATTTGGAGGCTTTTGGGCCCAAAGACCGTACCATACAAGGCTTTTGGGGTATTTTGAGCCTTAGACTACCCTAGAAACAACGCTGGGCTAGCCTGGAAACTATAAACCTGAACTCGAACTGACACGTGGGAAGCCTCCCAGTAGCCCGTAACGAACCCCTAAACCATCCCCTAAACCTCCAATTCAGGGTTTAGGGTTTCGGGTTTAGGGTTTATAAGGGTTTAGAGCCCTGAACCTCCTAAACCCAAAACCCTAAACCCTAAACCGCCAGGGCCTCAATGGCTTCGCGACAGACTGGCCGCTCTGGCTTCTCGCCTGCACCTGCCCGGTTTCCTGGTTTGGGCTTGGGTTTAGGGTTTTGGGTTCGGGGTAAAGGCTTAGGGTTTGTTGGAGGCTTGCAGGATTCCGGATGTAGGGTTTTCGGGTTGTTTTGAGAATTTAGAGTTTAGCGTGCAGGGCGTAGGGTTTCCTGGTAAGGGTCGCTCTTTATGTTGATCAGTCTATCTCTGTCTCGTTGTCCAAATTTTCACCTCGCCCTCTTTCTCGATCTACCGGTGTCTTGTAAGCCCAATAAACCCTAAACCCTAAACCAACACCGTCCGAAGCCCTAAAGCCTGGAGACAGCACCATGCAGCGCAGGGTCTCAAGCAACAGATCAGCAAGCCAAATAGCACTCCAAAAGGGTCCATGTGCCCAAGTAGCATTGGGTTTAGGGTTTAGGGTTTAGGGCATATACTTTGGGCGTAAAGTAGTCCCTATTTGGGTACGTCGGGGGCCAACGTATATACTATTTACTTTTTGGACACATGGACCCTTAGGGACTATACTCCACAAAGGCCGTTGCTTTACGCACCAAAAACAGAAATTAAAGGGCCCTTACCGGCTGAATCCCACCGCGCCCAACCCGATACTGAGAGCAAGGTGAATACAAACCTATGAGTCCAACAACCATGGCATGTACCAGGTGCTTCAAAGTTAGGGTTTGGGCTTTAGGGGTTCTGTGGTTTGGGGTTCATTGTTTTGATAGGCTCTACTGTAGTGCTTACAACAGCATTTTCAGCTTAAGGCTTGGGGGTTTAGTCTGCATGTGTGTTTGATGGTGGGCAGTTGCCAGGAACCGTCAAGGTACCTCATATTGGAGGCTTTCTGACCGTTCATAACTGGTACTTCAGTTGTAGGTATAACAGAGGATACTGGGGTGCCGCTGACTTGAGGGCCTGCAACGGCGGAGCCATGGCGTTGATGATTTGGCGTGTCGTGGTCGAGCAGACTCCCCTGGTAGTAGTGAAGGCGGATGAGGATCAGAAGGATCGTCTTTCCCGATGTGGCAGCGACCTCATGCAGGCACTCGGTGGTTTAGAGTCCCGTTTTCGTTTTGGGGTCTTAGGGTTTGGGGGTTTGGGTGCCAGGAGCTTTAGGTTTGGGGGTGTTATACAAACGTAACAACAAGCTCAAAATTAGATCTGTCAGTCTGTTTGTCTGTATGCTTGTTTATCGATCAACCTACCAGCCTATCTACCTGTTTATCTATCTGCCCATCCACGCATCTATCCATCCGTCTATCTATGTGTCAAACCTTGTATCTGTCAACCGATCTATTTATCCATCTGACTATCTGTCTACCTGCTTCTCTATCTACTCACCTGAGTCTGTGCACACATGTGTATATGTGTATGTATATATGGGTGGTCGTCAAAATTAGGGTCCCTCTTTGGGTCCTTATTATAATACGGCACCTATTATTTAGGGTACCCCAAAAGGGACCCTAGTTTTGATAACTACCCATATATATATACATACATACATATATATATATATACACACACAAGGATTTCTCTATCTTGTTCTTGAGATAGCCTTGGAGCTGGACACCGAAGCCGTCGAAGCCGGTCTTGCTCCTCGTGCTTCTACTAGCAGTTACCCTAAGGGTCCATGTTTGGCCCCAAAGTACCCAAATAGGAACTACTTTAAGGCCAAAGTCTATACTACTTAGGTACATGACTAGGTTCCCCAGTAGTACCGTTTTGCCCTTTTTCTTTTGGGGTTCCCTATTAAAACCAAATAGTAGGAAAAAGGGTACCCTTATCATTAAGGGGCCACTGGGGAACCTAGATCAGCAGTACCGGTATACGAGTGCCCCCACGCGCAAACTGGCCAAGCCTGAGCAGTAATAGACCGTATAGAGTCAGATTTCTTAGAGAACCTCTCGAGAGCCCTTGTAACACCCTTTGGAAAGACCATAAGACGGGGTGGATCCCTGGCAAGCCACTCTGTGTTTAGATTCTGCTAGGTGGCGCTATTTTTTCGTTTTTTTTTCCGTTTATTTTGGTATTTTTTTTCCGGTCGCACGGCTTCCAAGCAAGCAAGCAAGCAGGCAGGCAGGCGGGCAGGCAGGCAGGCAGGCAGGCAGGCAGGCAGGAAGGGCAGGCAAGCAAGCAAGCAAGCAAGCAAGCAAGCAAGCAAGCAAGCAAGCAAGCAAGCAAGCAAACAAAGCAAGCAAGCAAGCAAGCACATCGCCAAATGAGGGGGCGTGCTTAAGATATAGGATGAGTCCGAGCCGCGAAATGAGGTGGCATGTTTAAGATATACGATGAACCGGAATCGCCAAATGACGAGTGTTTGTTCAAAATATATGATGATCCGGAATAGCGAAATGAAGGGGTTTGTTTGAGTTTTAAGATATACGGTGAATCCGTTATGATGAACTCGAATCCCCAAATGAGTGGCCGTGTTCAAGATATAGGAAGATTCCGAATCGCGAAATGACGGGGCCTGTTCAAGATAGATGATGAACCGGAATCGCTCAGCCGAGGGGCGTGTTCAAGATATATGCTGAACCGGAATCTCCAAATGACGGGGTATGGTCAGGATATATGGCCAATCTGGTATGATGAACCGGAATCGCCAAATGAGGGGGCATGTTCAAGATATATGATGAACTCCAATCGCTAAATCATGGGGCGTGTCTAAGATATTATGATGAACCCGAATCGCCAGATGAGGGGGGCGTGCTTAAGCTATATGATGAGTCCGAATCGCTCAGCCGAGGGGCATGTTCAAGTTATATGACGAACCGGAATCGCCAAATGAAGGGGCGTGTTTTAACATATATGACGAATTTGAATCGCTAGATCATTTGGCGTGTTTTAAAATATATGATGAACCCGCATCGCCAAATGAGGGGGCGTGTTTAAGATATATGATGAGTTCGAACCGCTCAACCGAGGGGGCATGTTCAAGATATATGATGAGCCGGAATCGCCAAATGAGGGGGCGTGTTTAAGATATATGACGAATTTGAATCTCTAGATCACTTGGCGTGTTTTAAAATATATGATGAACCCGAATCGCCAGATGAGGGGTCCGAATCGCTCAGCCGGGGGGCTTATATGACGAACCGGAATCAGCAAATGAAGGGGCGTGTTTTAGCTTTAACATATATGACGACTTCGAATCGCTAGATTATTTGGCGTGTTTTAAGATATATGATGAAACCGAATCGCCAAATGAGGGGGCGTGTTTAAGATATATGATGAGTTCGAATCGCTCAGCGGAGGGGGCATGTTCAAGATATATGATGAAACGGAATCGCGAAATGAGGGCGCGTGTTTAAGGCAAAGGCCAAAACGTGTTTAAGATATATAATAACATATGTATAAACATATATATATATATATGATGATGATGTTGAAACCCCGAGCCGAAGAAAGTTTGGCTAAGCGACACCGAAAAAGTTTGATAAGTGACCCGAAACGGTGCGACCCCGAAAAAGGTTTGCCAAGTGACCTTCATGTTTTCCCTCTCGACGGACCCACCTTGCCGCGGTGGGAGGGCTCAGTCCCCCTTCCACAGACGGGGGAAGGAAGCCAGGAGGTCCCCAAACACGAAACGGAAACAAAAATACCAAAAGAAACGGGCAAAAAATACCGAAAAAAATCAGAGACCATTCTGCTACATCCGGACACTCAACACACCAAGCACCAAACCTAACTCCACAAAGCCTTAAGTCTTAAGGCCTGCAATGTCAAACTAACAGCACAACCTAAGGCAGCCTCAGACGCCTTAGACCCGACACCCCACACCTTCAAAACCTAACCCTAAAGCCCGACTACATCCTTCAACCAAAAGCCATTGGAATCTGTCCCTATACTTTAAGCATATCACCCTGGAGAAGGTGCTGTGTTTGGCAAGTTGCAAAGGCTTGGAGGCAAAATGGCCTCCACATCCAAGCTTCTGCGGCAGTTGGGGGAGGTGCCTGATGCCAAAGCCCAAACTCTGAACTTTGAGCAATTGAAAAGGGCCTTGCAGGGCTTTGGGGTTTAGACTCGGGATTTGGCGGTTTAGGGCCAGTTGGGGTAAGGCCTGGACCCTAGCCGTGTCATGTGCTAAGGCCTGGACCCTAGCGTGTCATGTGCGACCTGCATACAAAGACCACTGCTTTGAGTATTGGATGCAGAGCCCCTTGCCCCGAAACCCTGTAGTTTTTCAATTCCTACAGGAGCAGTCCTTCGCGCACTGTGTTCGCTACGGAGAGCTGCGCGGAATTGGCTTGAGCAGCAAAAAGCAGACTCGCGAGCGTGCGGCATACCTGGCGCTGGCTTTGGCTTCGCTGTTGGAGCAGAGGCGGCCTGCTTGGCTGGAAGGCGACCTGCTTGGGGAGCTTCAGCGAGCTACAGATGCAGAAGTCTTACGCCTTGACTTGCCACATGACGTGGAAGCCATGGATGACATGAACGATGACGGCAGAGACGCCAGCGGCTTCGCATGCGTCCCTGCTAATATGCAGCTTCCGCGGTCTGGGACTTGGGTGTGGTGGCTTGGTCACGAGGATGGAGGCATCCCTGTGGTGTTGTGCGAAGATCAAAGCGTGGGAATCTTCCAGCAGAGCAAGAACTGGCTGATGGAGGTTGTTGGCCTGACAGCATTGCCAGAAAGCCTGTGTGAAGGCGAGGTCGGAGAGGTGAGCAAAGACCGATTGGACACGGTGTTTCCGGATATCTACTGCACCGGACTGTGGCAGTTCGTGCATCAGAACAGGCAGTGGCAGGTGGTGGCTGTAGGCCGAAACGTCCAAGAACGTCTCCGTGCTGCATGTGTTGGGCTCGCATCTCAGATCGCCGAGGCAGATGGTGCCTCCAAATGCTGGCCGCAAGTGCAAAGAGAATTTGACCACGGCCAATGGCTTCCGGCAGGTGAACTCGGGCGTTTCTACGATGCAAAAGGGGAGGGCTTTTGGGCGAATGTGGCCTCGTGGCAGCAGACTGACTCGACGCCAGAGCTACCTCTGGCCCTGGCTGACATCAGCG